ACCTATATACGTTAGGGTCATGGTAGAGTGAGTTTTGAAACCATATATACTTCATATGCTTTGTATATGGGATTCATGTCCAGCTTAACATATTATCCAAGAAAGATATTCAGAGTTTTCTCTGGCATAAAAGAAAGATTTATGAGAGAGTAGCAGAAACGTTGTGGTGTATTCCATTATATTGCTGAAATACAAAAACGGTGCTGTAGCTGTTTTTTTCTCTGTAGCTAATTCTTCTTTCTACAGGTATTTCGACAAGTATCCATGTGGTTTAATCTCGCATCCCATAAGAATGTTATTGATAATATGTTGAGCACCATTAAAGAGGTAATTGACTAATGGGTTAGATTTTTTCTTCTGTTATGGAGAAGAAAGTCTCTTTTTATATCTCCAATATTCTTCTGTAATTAACCAATCTTCATCGAAACGTTCTTGCAGGTTCAGTCTTACAAATTTGTACCACTTGTTTATCAAATTGCTTCAAGGCTGGGCAGTTCTAGAGATGAATCAGGATCTAACAGCTTTCAGGTAGAATGCATTTTAACTTGGTTGTCACAGAAAACTTGAGACCATAATGGTTCTAGCTAATTTCTACATTACCACTTGCAGTCTGCTCTGGTTTCACTTGTCAGAAAAATGGCCATTGATCATCCGTACCATACTATCTTTCAGGTTCTGAAGAACATGTTACATTATTCGCAAGCGACTTTTTCTATCTCTTATAAAGTTGCGTTTGTAAATGCTGGATATATTTCTTTTAATTTTTTTATGATTTTGGTTCCAGCTTCTGGCTTTGGCAAACGGCGACCGAATCAAGGATAACCAACGCAGTAGAAACTCTTTCGTGGTTGATATGGATAAAAAGCTTGCAGCAGAGCATCTCTTGCAGGATATATCACATTATCATGGGCCTATGATTAGACAAGTAATCCTTATTATCATCTAATCTTATGCATTTTGTCTGGTTACTTGTCAGCAAATCCTGATTTTCTTTTTCAGATGAAACAACTGGTAGATATCTACATCAAGCTTGCAGAGCTTGAAACGAGGAGAGAGGTCTGATAATTCTTTGAGAGTAGAGGAAGTATTTTGTTATTCTGTTTGCTGAACCCAAATAACATTTGCAGGATACCAATAAGAGGGTAGCACTACCAAGAGAAATTCGTAGTGTGAAACAATTGGAACTTGTAAGCACACCATATTTAATTAGACTTTCATTCTTATCTAGTTTTGGCATAACTATTAGCTTGTAGGATACCATGTCACTGCTCCATGTATGGAATTTCAGACTTTAATTTTTGACACCAAGATATAAAATTTCTTGAAGATTAAGAAACATTCTGCGGGTCCATTGTGATAGGCTACTCCTATACATACACTTGAAAATTTAGTGGCAGCAATTGATTTTAAATAAGTGTTTAGCAAATAGCAAATGTTGTCCTATGTGTTCGTCTGACCTAATTCTTCGTTTGTTTGATCCCATGTATACTGTTTTGAGTATGTTGAAATTCCTAACAAGATCAATTCTTTGCTGAAATAATTGTGGCGATACTGTTTTCTTGTTGTCTATTTGATTGGAAAAGATGTTTCGTTGCATGAGCTTGCAAGCATGGTTTTCATTTTCCCTTCTTGGTTCTAATGCATCTGTCAAACTTTATCGTTTTCTCTTTTGTTTGAGGTTAGGTACCTGTAGTGACTGCTACAATTCCTGTTGATCGTAGCTGCCAATACAATGAAGGGTCATTCCCTTCTTTCAGAGGTTTATCAGATTCTGTTATGTAAGTCCCTGCTTAATCAATTGAACAGTTTCCTTTGACATTCCTAGTTTAAAAGAGAACCTTATCTGAAATTACGTCTTTTGGATATGCAGAGTGATGAATGGTATTAATGCTCCAAAAGTAGTTGAATGCTTTGGCTCGGATGGCCGGAAATATAAGCAACTTGCGAAATCTGGCAATGATGACCTTAGACAGGATGCTGTAAGAGTTTCAAATTTTTATAATTGACTATCTAACTTGCAGTGTCTGTACAATGGAACTGCTCCACCTACTGGCAGAAAATTGAAAATATGTTGTCTAGTTAAGTGTGTACCATTTGTTTTCAGGTTATGGAGCAATTTTTTGGGCTCGTCAATACCTTTCTGCATAATAACCGGGACACATGGAAGAGAAGATTAGCTGTACGTACATACAAGGTATCTCTCTCTAATCTTTCTACAAGAGGTTGTTTGGTTCTTTCGAGAAAATTTGATCAATTCAGTAAGTTCAAATCCTT